TACAAGTCTCTATGATTCTGCGTAATCCAAATGCCCAAGTATTTGAACTTGTTATAGCTGAGCTTGAAAGGTGCTAAAATAGACGAAAGTTCCCCGGTTATTGTACCTAAAGGCATTGCCTCACTTTTCCCGAAATTCACCTTATATCCGGAAATTGTCCCGAATTCCTTAAGTACATCTAAAAGTTTAGGGAGGCTATTTGAAGGGTTGGAAATAAACAAGAGCATGTCGTCGGCATAAAGAGAGACTTTATGCTCGATATCCCCACGACGTATTCCCTCAACCTCAACACAATGTCTTAGAGCAATAGCTAGCGGTTCAATTGCGATGGCAAAAAGGAGAGGTGACAAAGGGCACCCCTGTCGTGTGCCACGCTGAAGCTGAAAAAAGGGGGACAGACTATTGTTGGTCCGAATGGCCGCTACAGGGTCACAGTACAATACTTTTATCCAGGATACAAAATTACTCCCGAGGCCAAATTTTTCAAGCGTATGGAAAAGAAAGTCCCATCTCACCCGATCAAACGCTTTCTCAGCATCAAGTGAAATAACAGTTTCCAATACAGTACCTTTGACGTGGCTATAGATTATATTTAATAAACGTCTAATATTAAAAAACGAGTACCTGTTTTTGATAAAGCCTGTCTGATCAGGTGAGATAATGGAGGGCAGATGTTTCTCTAAACGGCAGGCCAACACTTTAGCAAGGATTTTGGTGTCGGTGTTCAGCAGAGGTATTGGACGGTATGAGCCACAATCTAAATGATCCTTATCCTTTTTTAGAATTAGGGAGATCACTGCCTGACGCATTGTTGGAGGCAAGGATTGTGAGAGGAAAGATTCTTCAAAGTCGATTTTAACAATGGATTCAATTGGTTAGAAAACTTCTTAAAAAAATCGGAAGGATACCCGTCGGGGCCAGGTGATTTTCCAGACTGCATACTCCGTATGGCCATTTCAATTTCAGCATCAGAAATGGGCTCCTCCAAACTGGTGGCCGCATCTTCTCCTAAGGAAGGGATATCAAGTTTCTCAAAGAAATTTTCTAGAGCCAGGTCATCCTTAGCCGGGGGGGAGCTGTATAAAGTCTGATAGTATCTAAAAAAACTATTATTTATACCTTGGTTATCCGTGCATCTTATTCCCTGGTCATTCCGGATCTCAGGGATAGCTTGATTAGCTGTTCTTTGTCGTAGCTGATGAGCTAGCAGCTTGCCTGTTTTTTCTCCATGCTCATACGAGTAGCTACGCAACTTCGAAATTAGATACTCAGCCTGTTTTGTAGATAGAAGATTATATTCAGTTTGTAATTTCGGCCTACGTTTATATAATACCGGGTCAGGGGAATGGCTATATACAGCGTCTAGTTTAGTAATTTCGTCAGCCAATAGAGAGAGTTGCTCAGTATCCCTCTTCCTTTTGTTCGCACAGAATGAGATTATCTGGCCTCTCAGATATGCTTTTAGAGATTCCCAAACAGTTGATGGTGACATCTCTGGAGTTTGATTGATGGCAAGAAAGAAATCTATTTGAGACCTAATATAATTAACAAACTCTTCGTCTGCTAACAATACTGGGTTGAACCTCCATGGCCGATAATTGGAGTAGGCATTGGGAATACGCAGTGAAAGAACAACAGGTGAATGATCTGAAATCACCATGGCCTTGTAATCACAGTCTGTCACCAAAGGGAGGAGTTTTTTGTTCAGAAAGAAATAATCTATACGAGTATATGTTTTATGGACATTAGAAAAAAAAGAATATTGACTTGAAGTTGGGTTACGAAATCTCCATACATCAGCTAACCCGTAGTTATGAAGAAAACGCTGTATAACACGTGCTGATTTTGAAATAGGCGTGCATTTGTGCGAGCTGCGGTCCATAGCAGATAATGAGCAATTTAGGTCCCCACCAAGAATAATATTATGCGTTGCCATGTTGGGAAGCCGTGCAAAGACATTAGTGAAAAAACTATGATCGTCCCAGTTAGGGGCATAGACATTCGCTAAAATCAAGGGGAAACCATATAAATGTCCTACAACTACAACAAAACGGCCTGCAGGGTCTTCATCTACAGTTGTGGCTATAAATGGTAAAGTTTTGCTTATCAATATTGCTGTCCCCCGAGCTTTAGAATTAAATTTAGAGTGATATATCTGGCCTACCCATCCAGACTTGATTCGAAGATGATCAGAGGTACGCAGATGCGTTTCCTGGAGAAATGCTATATCCGTTCTAAGTCGTTGTAAATGAGTAATAACCTTTTTCCGCTTGACTGGATGGTTGAGTGATTTTACATTCCAGCTTACAAAATTTACCACCCGATCACTAAATGATCGCGCTGTGCTCATCCCTGCTCAAATAGTAAAATATGAAAGCTCCAGATGCACAACAGGCATAGGAGAAGAGGAAAGAGAGGGGAGGAAGAAGAAGGAAAAAAAAAAGAAAAAAAAAAAGGGAAAAACAAAAAACACATTGATAAGTAAAATAAACATATCTGGCTGAAGCCCAAACCAAGAACACAATGAGCAATTACACCAGATCGAACATGGTGACTGCCAAACCCCCTGCAAACAGATCCACACATATAGCCTAGTGCTTGTTTGGGTTACTATAAGCCAGACTCTTAGGCTCCCGCTGGCCGCTTGACATAACATATCCTACAAAGAAAAATAGTCAATAAAATAGAAAAGAAAATATATATATATATACACATACATATATCGACATCCAAACAAAGTATAGAACTTTTCTAAACCCAATGGTATTGCCATGAAATAAAATGAACCAAAATGTGTTTATGAAATAAGTTTAAATGTCTGAACAAGAAGTGTCTCTTCAAGCTTTTCATCACCGTGCGAACGCTACAACAAACAGTCATGTACACTCAGCCGTAACTGAGACAACCAACCGTAGCACTGGCGCTCCCACATAGAGCGACAGGCGCAGCCTCCTCAAACGTTGATAATATGTTCTTTAACATATTCCATTGCCTTCGCCGCATCCAGAAATTCTTTCTCCTCCCCGTTGTGCGTGATACAAAGTCGCGCTGGGAACCTGATCCCAAAACGGATACCTTCCTGCTCACGGAGAAGTTTCCGGACTTCTGTAAAAGCAGCCCGAGCTCGGGCCACCGAGGTCGTAAAATCCGGGAATATTGCAATCGGTTGTCCATTGAACCTCAGCGGAGCTTGGGTCCTGGCACGGCGTAGAATTTCCACACAGTCCTGGTAGTAATGAAGCTTGGCTATGATGGCCCGCGGGTTACCACCCGGCCTTCTCGGGGCCAGACTCCTGTGTGAGCGGTCGACAATAACATCTTTATCCATACCCAGCGCTTCACGTAGTAGCGCGGATACGGCCGTGGTGGAGCTCGAATCCGGGCCCTCCGGGACCCCCATGATACGGATATTGGATCTCCGCATCCTGCCTTCCATGTCATCACATTTATCTTTCAGGTCAGATAGCTCCTTCCTCAAAGTCTTCACCGTAGATTGCAAGGTGACCACCTCATCGCTCCACATTGACAGCCCGTCCTCTACTTCTTTCACCGTGGCCTTAACTCCATCCATTTCAGCGCGCGCTGCCGCCGTATTGTTAGCAATCTCATTTCTCACTTCTTGCACGTCAGCCCTAATGTTATCAAAATCTTCTTTCAGTGCATTCCTGAGTTCTTCTTTTAACACCACGCTGATATCATCTTTAATGGATTGAAGAAGCTCTAATTTCAGGGCATCAGTGTCCACAAAGCGCCCATCGCTCTGCTGAGCCCGTTCCTCAGTGGTCGCTGAGCCGGGCGCCGCCCTTGGGCCACCATTGGTATTCTCGCCCGAGGATGCGCCGGGCCTAGCCGCAGTTCCTCCGGTGTACTTGTATTTCCTTAGGTTCGATGCCATTTTGTCTCGAGTGAAGCTTTAATATAGTATATAAAACTGTTAGCTTCCCCTGTGACATAAAATGAGACTTTGTAGGTTGAAAAAAAAACTATTTCTGAAACTCTGTTAGCGGGAGCCTTCAGAAACACGTCCTACTCCATTGCTGGCTCGCTAGTGCCCCCACAAAAAGCAGCTTTTAACTAAAGGAGCAGGAGCCCTCATCACTGCTTCCTTTGGCCCACAAAAATACCCTCAGCAAATGAGAAGACCAGATAAGCAGCGGCTGAAAATAATGAAGAACAGACACACATACACAGTCCTTCTTTTATCAGAGAGATGCACAGTGAACATTTTAAATCCCTGCTTGTGTTTGTAGAATTGGTTGTAGTAAACAAATTTGAACAATTACATTTAAAAATACATATGTGTTCAGTGGACTAATGTATACATGATAACAGGACTCTGACTTCTTTTCAGTAATGTTTATCAGTGTAAATTTGCTAATCGCGCAAGTGAACTTTAAAGAGCTAGATGTATTAGTGCCACTGTTGTCTGTTTGTATATAGACCTCTCATTATACTGCAGAAGACTCACAATGCATGGCAGCTTAACATGACTTCATTATGTATTTTGTGGATTTCTTTTGTTACACCGGTGTCTCTAGAAAATAGCCACGATTTATAATTGTGTATAGTTTTTGAAATGACTAATAAAAAATGCTTAAACTACATTCCATGCTCAATCCCATTACGAATACAACATGTGGGAGCATAACAGTGAGATGGATTAATTAAGCAAATTAAAAGGAAGAAGCCCAGACTCACAGTAGATGATATCTTTGTCATTTGGTCATGCTGGGAGAGACAGATGTTAAGCAGCTACCATGCTTATTGTGCATTGCCATCAGACATTAATCATGAAGGAAACAAGTCAGCTGAACATTAAGTGATCCTGTTAGACAGAAAAACAAACAATCCCCCCCCGAATATTAAATAATTTAGTATTTACTTTTAAACACTGTCATCACCAAAAGCTATTCCGTCAAATAACTCTTTAAGCACACTAATTAGCAGTGAATGAACTCCAGTTGGGACGTTGCCTGAGACACAGAGACAGATAATTTTCTACGGCTGAAAAAAGCAGTCAGTTTTCAAATCTCTGTGGCAATAACATCGTCATAAGTTTGTAACCCTGAGCTGTAGGCGACATCCATGCTTAGCTCTGTCCGGCTCTCCAGTTCTGCTGTCAGCTCCTTCAGGATCCTTTCCAGGTCGTGGTTCTTCCTGTGCATCTGCAGGTAGTTGATCTGGAGCTGTTTCTGATACCTTATAACTCTGTCTTTCTCCTTGTTCCACGTCTGCCTCTCCTGTTCAAAGCTGCTGGCTAGCCTCTTTTGAGCATTCTTCTCCTCCCGTAGCTGCTGCTTAAGTCTGTCCACCTCTCTTTGGAGGGATTCTGTGGAGGTGTGCTCATTGTTCTCTCCCTCTCGCCCCTGGTCTGTGGATTCTGAACCTTGGCTTTCTGTCTGAGACGGGGAATGGGTTCTGACTTGCAAACTGTGCTGCAGCCTTTGCTCTTTGGCAGTGACTAGATCCTGTTTCATTCCTTGAATGTCTTTCTCCAGTTTGCCCACTTTCTCCCTCAGAAGATCTGCCTCATTCTTTTTGCGCTGGAGTTCATTTTGGCACACCTGAATTAAAAACGGAAAATGGTCAGAACCTAGGCAGCAATTATAAGACTGTTGTGAGGGATGTAACAGGCTCTAATTATACAAAGTGCCAAATAAGCTCACTTTTTAGGACTGTAATTAAGTGTGCTAAAACATGGAAATTGAAAACACTTTACTCAACATGCGGCAGTCAAATATAGCACATGATTGCAGGGATCCTTCCAAGCTATTGTCATATGAGCATTGTGTGAGCATTTTATGCACATGTCCGTGTCTCATCTCTGCAGTGGTGTAAACTGCAATCAGCAGACTAACCTCAATGTCTATGGTGCGGGAGTGAAGACTGTCCTCGTGGTTTTTGTTCTGTTTCTCCAGAATCTCCATTTTTGCTGTTTTTTCCTTCAGCAATGCCCTGAGGCCGACTATCTCATTCAGCTTGTGGCTGACATCCGCTTGACACTCTCTTAGCTGCTGCTTCAACAGTGAGATCTCTCCTGTCTTTTGGCACACCTACATTCAGACAAAAGACAATTATGAAGATGAAACTGTGAATTATCCTCTGTAAAGTAGGCAGTTAGGGAAACGTAAACAACTGCTTAGCCTCATGCTGTTTTAATATTGAATTGCCCCTTAATGTGTCTTTTTGTGGGTGTATTTGCCTCAAGATAGCATATACCCACAGCATTACGGATTCAACTGTAAATTTTGTTTTACAATTAGTCTTATAAAAATCTATAAAATTAGCACAGAAACCGTGAAAAAAAACATTAATACATTTCTCTGCCAGGAATGATTGTACGCATGAAAAGCAACACTTTCACGTGCCAAAGATGAACTGTAAAATAGATAGTTAATAAATAAGCTAATAAAATTCTGGACTCCTTGTAGCTATTTTTTTCCTTCACCTTAAATTGTTAAAGGCTTGTGTTCAAGAGCTGTGTTCTCTAAGCTTAGTTTATCAGAGCAGATTCTTGCTGCTGATAAATGTTAGTGAGGGGTCTGGCGAGACTAAATCAGATTAGTGCAGCAACCAAACAATGAGGTGAAAGGTGCTGAAAAGCTTCTTGGAGTTGGAGTTGAAGGGAGCTGCAGAGTTGGTGATAATTCCCTTGGCAGCCTCTTTGATTGTATATATAGATCATATATATAGAAAATCAATCAGCATTTCTCCCAAATTCTTAGGAGTTAAGTTTGCAGCTACTCACAATATAAACGTATCAATATGCACTACACTGAATGCAGTGCAAGTGGCTTTCAGTTCAATTCAAGTCAATTCTTATAAGTGATAATGAAAAAGCATAAAACATAGAAGATATTCAAATGTTTTCTCTGGTGATGGAAGGATAGCTGGTATCCCACTTCAGCTCTATATTGTATTACACTGTTTTTCATGCTACAAGCTTTCATGTCTAACTTACAGTATATCACATATATAACCCATGACTTACCTCCCACTGAGTTTCCTCGAGGGTCGGAGCTAGCTGTGTGCTCTCTGCCTCATAAGCCTTTAGTCTGAGCTCAATAAGCTCCTTCTCCCGAGTTAGCTTAGAGAAGTCTTCCTGAAGCCTTTCCTTCTCTGCCTGCATGAGAATTTATTTTTCCTTTCAATTATTCAAGTGGTCAAGTGTTACATGAAATATGGTTGGTAGGATAAAGATGACCCAGGAATACGTGGTTTTAAATAAAGGCAGACGAGGGCTGACCTGGAGCTGGCTGACTTGCAGCTGGAGTGCTTGCTGTGTTTTTGCAGCCATTTGGGACGCTTGGCGTAGCTTTGTGGAGCATCGCTGCTTCAGCCCTTCCATCTCTTCAGCACAGTACCTTTGTCTTTCCTCAAACAGCTGGCAGGTGTCTGTTTCCTTCTCCTCAAAACTCACCTGTTGCAAAGTGAAAGGCCTAATTACTAAGGAGTGTTCATTTTCATCGTGATTAAGAGCACATGCTGGTTTTTATTTTTTATTAACCTCTACTTTTTGTTCACGTGACAGTTCTGTACCTGCAGCTCCTGTAGTTCACTTTCTCTCTCCAGCAGCTTTTGTTCCAAGCGTTCAATCAGTGACTCATCTGTAGTTATGGGAGACCGAATCCCACCTGCAGTCTCAGAGAGAGCGCTTGGCTCATCTGCAGAGAGTGGGGAGCCGGCGTCCTCATTAGCCTTAGATACCAACCCACTGCTGTTTAAATCAGCACCGTAACTACAGTCAAGGTTAGCGCTATTCCCGTTGACCCATGGAGAGAAATTGGGTTGTACTCCCTCGCTGAGGCTATTTGCAGGAGCGGAGCTGCCATCGCTGTGACTGACAGGGCCTGTGGAAGCACTTAGGCTGCCGCTGGTGCTGTGGGTGGGAAGGCTAGACATGGAGTTGCGTCCAGAGTCGGACAGAGTGCCTGAGGGGAAAGAGATAACATCGGGTACGTTCGTTTAATTTTTCATTCAACCCAAGCAAAATGTATTTTAAAGCATCAATCCATGCGTGAAATATAGACGAAAACCTGAAGTGTCCCGCTTGTCTCTAATATTTGGATTGCTTGCTTTCTTCAGAGGACAAAGGATGTGGTCCAGGCTGTTGTGGCCTGTCTCTGTGGATGAAGTCCTTGTGGGATTTACGCACTTGAAGGCAGTGGAACGGACCGATGACTTCTCAGCAGAAGTCTAGAAGAGTGAAATGGCACACAGTCAGGGCTCTTCTTCCCTACTTTTGTATTTATATTCACTGGGTTCCTCTTAGTTAACATCACAGCCAAAAGCAAGTCCTTTTTCACAGAAGTATAAAGGGCTGAGGATGAGTCACATTCTTAAACTTAAAAATCATAATGACTGGCTTTACATAGATAAATATTGTCACATGCTGGAAGTCCGTACAAATGAAAGGGATAGATTTTTTTTGTGTCTGTCTTTTCATAGTAGAAATAGAACCACTGAAGCGTGCAGAATTGCTTCTCTACAAACTGCCGGTATTAAAAGACACACAGCAGTAGTTGCAGGTAAAATTCACCAGACTGTCAAAAAAGGGAAAACTCATTTCAAAGATGAACTTATACTCCACATGCCCCATCTGGGCTGTCCAAGAATGTCACAAGCAGTGCCATACCTTCGCTTCTTTCTGTCCTCTTTTCCTTCCTTCTGCATCCCATATCTCTCCTCCATGTGCTGTCTGAGGGAAGATGAATAGCCCTTTTCAGTGATATTAATAATATGAGCTATTGCTGAAGTGTAAGAGGTAAAGCTTGTGAACTCAGCATTCTTTCACACTGACTTCATGGCTGGGATGCCTTTCCTTATGTTTTTTTCTTTCTATCTCTCAAATTCTCTTTGGCCCTTGATCCCTCGCTTTATTTTTTATTTTTCCTTAGTCTGTGCTGTCTACTTAAATCCCACCCTTCCTCCTCCTCAAGGTAGCCAAGCCCCGTTCATGAGGCCTAAAAACCTATAGAAGACGATGCTGTTTGCTTTGGTATTCTTGGCACAGAGAAGACTTTTCTGAAAAGATCAAGGCACCCTTAGGTCATTAACCTGGGAGGGAGTGATTAATAAGCTGGGAAGGTCCTACACAGGTTATGAGGAATAGCTGCTACTTATTAAACTACCTGCTGTGCATGTTTTATCCCCCACTTCGCTGTGAGGTTGTTAAAGTCTATTTCAGCTACTCAGCATGACTTCTTAATGGTTGTCAGGATAACCATAGCAACTGTTCCAGTTAAGGAAAGCACAGTGAAGCTACATTTTTTATAAGGGCATGAAAATACAGTACATCATGATCTCAATTAATATCTAAATGTATTACTTTAAACTTATTTGCTTGATGTTGTGGGTTGTCAAAGATGAACGCAGCAGCATCTAGGATTGGAAACTAAAGACATATGAAACTGTGTTAGAGTTTAATTCTTTTTTATGATGGCCAACAGCAAGGGGGTCTCTTTTTGAGAAACAAAAGCAGACTGGGCAAAAGTCAAATCCAGTCTTTGCTTGTGACGTTGCCTGCTTGGACTTGATAAACCATAGACTGACATCACAATGGCTCCATACATCTTCCACACAGGAGCCTATGACATATACAGTCATGTATAAAATTAAGTTTTTCACATTACTCTATGCAGTCTACGTAAACCCTTACTGCTTCTGTAGGAATTATGAGAGTAATTAGCAGTCAGGTGATGCTAATGAAATATACTCTGTTAATTTACCATCAGCTCAAGTGTGGGTGCCTCTATAAAAGCAGAATTTTTAGTGTAAATGCTCCAGAACAGCAAGTATCAGCAATGATCTCAGTAAAACTATTTTTGTTGCCCATCTTTATGGTTATATGGTCTATGGATATAAGGCCACAATCTGAAGTCTGTCATTATACAGTGAGAAAGATTATTTACAAGTGCAAAACATTCAGGACAACTGTTGGTCGTAACAGGGCGGAGGAGGAGGAACAGGAGAGGATCTTCCACCTCCAGGTCAAAATGTTTGGCCATAATGCACAACATTATGTTTGTTGAAAACAGAACACAACATTTCAGCCCAAACACCTCATAAGATCTGTTAAACACAGTGGTGGAGGGCTCATTATTAGGGCTTCTTTCTTTTGTTCTTTTTCTTCAGTAATTGAGGGCATGCAACAGGAAAATGACCCCAAGCACGGCAGCAACTTTTCAACAGAATGGCTGAAAAAGAAAAGAAGTCCAGACCTCAACCTAATTGAAATGCTGTGACGGGACCTTAAGAGAACTGTGCATAAACGAATGAGCTGAAGCAATGTTGAAAAGCAGAGTGGACCAGAAATCCTCCACAACAAGTGGAAAATGATTACTTCAAGTTGTTGCTGTTAAAGGTCTTTCTACAAGCTACTGAGTCGCAGTTTACCCCGTTTTTCCATGGACTGCATAGAGTCCTGTGAAAACTTTCTTTTTCACCTGACTGTGAAAAAGAACTCAGCTAGCAACCAGTTAGCGTCATGCTGGAGGGAGCTGCCAGCCTGACTGTGTCTGATGTATAAACTGTATAAAAGAATGAGATAGCTGCTGTAATTTCAATTAAGTGGATTGTGGGCAGTGGCTGTGAAGTCTGTGGGCACCATCGTCTTGGATATATTGATCACCTTGGATTAGAGGATGGAGCCGAAGAGGAAAGATGGTCGAATCTGACTGAAAATCAATCATTACAGTAGCCAAGCTCTGCTTTATTCTTTATAATAAACAATGCAAGACCTATAACATGAAGCTAGTCAAGGAAACCATACATCTATTAGAAAAAGGTTAACAGAGGTAATAAATTACCGTAAGCTAAATTCTACATCAGGTTCTTTTTGCCACCTGCTGGCCATATGAAAAATGCAAGCCCAAGGGACATCTTTCCCTAAATTAGCCCCACCTTTCATAAACATGGGCTATACCTGCTACTTTATTTACAGTTTTTTTGTTGTTTTTGTAGCCTTGAGCACTAACTTGTAGGCGTCTGATTGCCTAGCAACAGCTGTAATGAGAAACAGCTGGAATAAATTGGTTAATTTTTTTGTGCTTAACCTTTTAAATCTTGTCTTATATTCTAAGAATAACACGATTAAGCATGGAGGAAGAAAACAACAACAACACCAGGCTCACCTTCTCAGTCACATTTCCAGACATGAGCAGCAGTTTTGGTTGCATCTGCCCATCAGATTTCCCATTTCTGTTTACCTGTCCCTCCGCTGATCTCTCTCTGTGGTGCGTTGACCTTGGTTTATTGCTTACCTTGTGTGAAACAAAATAAATCTGTTACCCCAAAGCACCGTTGCATGTTGTAATTTTTTCATTCTCACATGCCATCAAAAAACACGTCATCTCACCTTAATATAAAAAAAATCTTCGCTTCTTCCAGACCTTGAGTGGGAGAGGCCTTTGGAGGGATGAGTGGAGGATGAGGAGCCCTGAGTGAAGCCGCACTTCAGTAACCCGTCAAGGTTGCAACCTCCACTCTTTCTGTGGCTGCTTGTTCCCTCCTTTAACCTGTGCTGAGATGCCTTGCAGTGTTTGCTGCCGAGGCTGTTGTCATTGAGGACACTGCTGACGCTACCCATGGTCCTGTAGGCAAGCGCACGGGCGAGATGCAGCTAAAGTCTAAATGGTGAGGTTACACTGAAGTAAGGGAAAGGTACATCTCGTGACCCCACGGAGGTTCTGTCAGTGGCTTCATCTGTGAAACAAGAAAAGGATAAACATAAAGGATGCACAGTATCATTAAACAGAAGATTTTTGTTCCATGGAAAGGATACAGCCTTATTTTAGTTTACTCAACTCATAGTTTACTTTTGATGCGTATCACTGTTGTTTAATTGTTGTTCAGTCTATTGTGCAGTGTTGAAGCAGGTGTTTAAATTTGCAAAGCAAACAAAGTGAAAAAAAAGTGTCTATCTTGGCACTCTGCCTGGCTGTGTATGTTTAGATTTATGACTCAGCTGTTAAATTTGACAAATAACCCTTTGGGTGCCCTTCCTCTAAACAAACTGGCAATTAGACTACTTACTGCCTTCTCAACAATTGGCTGGGGCTGCCATCTGAATATCATTTTCTATTTGCTATTGTTTTGGAACATATTACAGATAGACCGGCAGAAATTATGAAATAAAGATTAAGTGCACAGAACCTGTGTGAATTTATGTAGTTAATATTTTTAATTACAGTCTACAAGGACATTTATTTGCACAGTCACACGTAATGAGTGTGACTGTGCAGTTGTCCTCATTTTCCTCGCCTTCTTTCAAAGATAACCAGACCCCAGATGTTGCTATCATGCTCTCTAACCCACAAGGGAAAAGTCCCCTCGGCAGCAGATAAAGGGCTCCTAGAACCACATGGTCCTGAGCTTTTAAGCATTTAATAATGGCCACAGCAACAAAGCCTGTGACTAACGACCTCCTATAAGTTATATATATCTAAGCTATTGCATTTGGCTTGAGTTTAATTCATAATTTATGGTTGCCCTCCAGTGTTTGTAAGGAAACTAACTCTCATTGTACTGTTTCTGAGATGCCTCATAGGGAGTGCTGATCAAGGCTGGGACTTTTTATTCAACCCTAAAACAAAAGTAAGGGAATTAAGACATTTAAAAAAATGTTTTTAAAATCAACAAGACACCAACTGACATAGAGTGGCATTCATACAGAAGAATAAAAGTATATTGGGCTTTTAAAAGAAATATTTTTTGATCAGTATAGATGAATACAAGAAAGGAAAGCACACCCAGAAATACACAAAGACCACTAATAATAAGAGACATCTTCAGCACTGCTTCAGTTTTGAAGTATATTCTACAAACTAAACATGTACTGAAAATGTTGAATAATGGCTAATGATGGTAAATTCGTACTCGCAAGAGTCTAAAGCGAGGCAGTCCTGTGCACCACTGTAGTAAAGAGTCTCTGACATGCCTGTGTCTGCTGCTGTTTTATTGTCCCTGAATGACTGCTGCTAAATCTAAACTCTAGCCTTCACCATCACTCTCAGATATTAGCATCTACCGCTGACATGGGACTGATGTAATGAACAATAGATTTTACTTACTGCCAGGTCAAACTAAACATCCATCTCTAGCAAGGCCGCTGCAGAGTCATCTATCCAGTCACCGAAGAAAACAAAAAAGCAGACATGTGTACGTCTCTGTGCGCGCGGGTGTGTGCATGTGTGTGTGTGTATGAACGAACAAGCAGCAAATGCAAACACTATCACCACGGCCAGGGTCTGCTAACTGTTTGTGAAGGGGGTGGATCTTCCTGCTTTTCTTTTCAGCCTGTAACCGGCTTTGCATCATAACTGACATGTAAATTCAAGTGTGTGTATGTGTGTTGTTGGACCTCCCACTCCTCTCAGGGGATCCAGTGTACAACATGTGCTCCATAGAACTGGCGTGTGCCGCTCAAGTGATTAACTCTCAGCCTTCACAAAAGATCTTTTACACTCCCCCCCTTCACAGTGCACCTCCCTCCACTCTGCACAATCACCCGCAGACACCCCGTTTGTGCATCCACTAACTGTGTTATGCCCATTCATCCTTCCCTCTCTCCTTTTTTTCCATCAGTCCCTCCCTCATCCATCCGTCCCACTTGGTGCCCTGCACCCACCCTGAATAAACAACAGTTCATCTTAAGGAGAAAAAAAGGCGCTCGCCCTCTGTCTTTTGGCTCTTTGTCTGTTGAAGTGTGCCTTCTTTGTGTGGACTCTTCTGTGCCAGTTGATGTATTCTCTCCAAACAGCCCAGGACCATATTTGACTGTTAAATAAATGACTAGTCCTCAAAATAAGAGCGCTGGAGAGCATCGGTTTTAGAGCGATTTACCACCATTCTGCCTTTATGCTGTTTATTCAGGCATACACCCACAGACCCACTCTTTCACACACAACTTTGCGTGTCAACACAAATTGCACACACTCTCACAGTGTCATTGCTGGAGTCCAGCTCTCTCTAAGGCAGTAAAGCATTCAGCATCCGACAGAGCCCAGACTGTTGACAAAAACCCTTGTGGATGAAATACAATCAAGCCCGGCAACAGGAAAATATACTAGGCACTGTGATCCACATAACAAAAAACAACAACAAGGGAGAAGATATGGCCTTTCTCTGCAACTGACAAAACAAGTTTAAATCTTACAACCCATTTTTGTCACAAGTAAACATATACTTTGTGTTAATGTGAGGAAGCAGAGTGCTTTGCCATGCATCTAGACAGAACACAGCAGATTTACTGATACTGATAATGTGAAACAAAAATCAATGTGACAAAAATCACTTGTTTAAAATTGAACTAATAGCGTGCTGTGCAAAGAAGCAAAGCTCTATACTATGGGCTCTGGATGTGCAGACAGAATTGCAGAAAAGTGAGTCATATTGCATCATACTGTCTCAAACCTTTCACCATAAAGTGTTTTCACAGTCTTTTTGCTCTTTATGTAATAATATACAATATTTCTGTTGATGTGCCATAATTTTTTTCAGCGAGGCTATTCACTCATGCTTTCAGCTGGCTGCCATTGTTCCTCAGTTAGTCGTGTTCAGACCCTGAAGCCTGCTTTCTGAACAATGATCCTGACATTTTACTTTTGTTACTACTGACATGGTACTCAGAACTGATCAATTTCACGTCTGTTTGACGCAAATATAACAATTTGAAAATCTTTTCATTGCCCCTTCATTCGAAAAATTTAATAAGCAATGTAAACAGTTGATTCCACAGCCTTTGAGGGGAAAGCGTGATTTAAGACCTCTGGTGTGTTGGGACTGGGGAGAGTGAGTGTGTGTGGATGCATGCAGATATCTAATCACATATCTGACTGCCTGCATGTTTTTCAGTGTCTGCACAAAAGAGTGTTGTGCACTCGCTTATTGTGTATGTCTCTGTGTGCAGGCAGGGGATGATGTGTGTGTGTGTGTGAGCGTGGGCGCTGTGTCATCTAACCCCAGCTGACCTGCTTGACACAAAGCCCTACCCCGCACAGGACCAGCTGACACTACACACCCCTATTCCCCACCCCCCACACCTCCACCCGAAAACACACTCACACATACATACACACACACACACACTCACAGAGCATAGCCAATCCATTAGCCCAGCCAATGGCAGGCAGCAGTAAGTGTGTTATAAACATCCAAGATTTATACCTGTCTCACAATGACCATGAAACTCTCCTCTGTTCTCACTGTACCTCTACACTGCCACTGTGCCAGATGGCATCTTTTTAATTCTCACTCTTTTTATGGTAATTTCTAACAGATGCATGGCTAATCTCTCCGGTTCACTATATGTTTTTTTAGGTCATTCTTGGGCAGCTTATTCTTCTTTGTTCTCTGGTGCATTCAACATCATCAATCTCATTTGTTTTCCTTACATTTCAGAGGCCAGCGTACTTAAAGTAAAATTTAAGCTACTAGTTCTAACTACTGTTTTGCTTTGCGTAAGGCTAAAATTCATTTAAGTTTTTGTTGTTTGAGGCTTTTAATGTAAGTTAAGCTAACTTTAATTAACTTGAACATTTGAACAAAACAAGTATTATCTTACCTAAATTACAGGTGTTTTTTTTTAAATGATTGAATTAAACATGAAGTGGTCAAAGGGTGAGATATTTTGATATTTGGTCATTTGTATGACTATCAATTCAAAAATACTTCCCAGAATGCAATGCTCAACAATATCTTAAACCCCTCATCTGAACAAAGGCTACAGTTTGAAATACAGCATTTCTATTCTATTCATGTTACATCACTACTTTTTTGGAGACATGTAAGGACACCATACAGAGTATCAAGAACAACAGAAGATTTATACAACAATTTACACAGAATATAAATTATTACTAAATAATGTACAAAATCTGCAGTTGTTGTTCTCTACCAGTAAAGATACCGATATTACGTATCGGTATAGGTCCGATACTGACCTAAATTACTGGATCGGATATCGGAGAGAAATATGTAGTCCGATCTGAAGTATCACAAAATCACCTCACAAAACTCATAAAACTTGGCGTAACCCAGCTCGGCGCATCGGAGCAGTATGTGTCACGTGATAGAGCGGCTGTTGGCGGTCTGTTGGAGCATTTGGAGCCTCGCTACATGCTTCCTAACCGCAGCATTTCATCTCGGCGAAAACTATCCCAGATAAGTAAAGCAAGTGTGTAAGTTCATCCTTGAATGTTTGCATAGTATTTCCACGTTAAGCTTAACAACTGATATGTTGAGCCACAGCTGGACTGACCATCAGAGTTCCATATTGAGGTGAAAAGGAAGCGATTTGTCCCGTACTTCAGCTAGAATTAAAAAATAAACACAAAGCTGGAGTTATTCCGTCTTTGCTGCTCAGTTGCATCTACTTCTCTCATTCACTCCCCCTCCCTCTCCTGTTATTACTTCAAACATGAAACTGATCAATGATCAGCTGATCGGCTTTTCTGCCACAAGTCTCGTCTTTCTTGTTTGTTTATCGCCCACTTTGCGCTAGAAAGAGGACACCAGCGGATAAACAACAGCAGCGCGTTAAAGGGTGAAAAGCTGTTGTTAAAATTTATTTAATATTACTTTCTAGTATCAGCTGATGTTTGCTGGTCATGATATCCGTTTGGATATGTGGTGAGAGGGAAACATGAAGATGAAACCAGGAGATGTCCTTACTGAATCATCAGAGCTGAACAGGTGATGGAGAAACAGGTTTACCCTTTAGGTGACATGAATGAGTTGAAGGGAAGTTATGAGACAAATAACACCAGGATCCTTTTCTATGTAGCTGACGGCTGGTAACTGTGCAGGGGCGGGTCTAGCAAAGTTTTGCCAGGGTAGGGCATTAACAGAAAAAGGGGGGCACAAAGAAATATTTTTCTTTATTATGTCATTTAAAAACTTTGAATAAATAATTATCTGAATCTTACAACAAAAGTGGTCACCTGATTAAATGTATAGAAATCCATTATTGTATATAGCAACTAATAAGTCTAATATACACCCTAGTAAGCTATAGTACTTTTTCCTTTGGGAAGGTACCATCTGTGCAGTCTGCAATTCTGTTGAAGCAAGATGTTGAATCTATTTAAATATTGTAGAAAAATAATTGATTTCTGTGCATTTGTTTTACACTTGCATTAAATTTAAGTTGATTACATCGATTAAGGGAAGGGGGGGTGGTTCCCTAATTTTTGCTGGGAGTTGGCAACCCTAGTAGTTAGGTTGCTTAATATTTCCACTAAGTACTCTTTAAAATACCAGAATAGGGAGGATGGTGTTGGTTTAAATTTATTAAATTGATCAGTGTTGCTGAACTATAAAATGTTTTGGGTGGAGTGTATTTTTTGCATACAGGTATAGCAGAATAGCTTCAGTGTCTTGTTTTTTTAAACTTGAGTATGAACTTATACAAAATACAGTAAGATATTTATAAAAAGAAGTTTTATTGATTACAAAATACACTGTATCGGATTCATATCGGTATCGGCAGACATCCAAATTTATGATATTGGAATCGGTATCGGACATTAAAAAGTGGTATCGTGCCATCTCTAGTAAAGTTATTATGCTCAAATTTGTATGCATATAATTTTTAATCTTAACTTTTGATTAAAAAAATGGAGATGCATGCAAGCGCATACTATTTTAGCAAAAACTCATTTGTTACACAGCATGCATGCCTGCTTATCAGTGTATATTAAACCAGACTGTGATTTTACAGTCAGTATATGTCACTGAGCTTACTGTAGGTTTCCCCATGAGGAGCTGTAAAATGATAAATGAATTATGCTAAAGGCATTAGTGTGTCCCAACTTTTTACCTGTAAAATGTGGATTGCACTTTTATTGCTTCCAGCCACGTCAGTCTAAATGAATCTTTATAGCCTACGGTTCGATCCTCTGAATGCAAAATGATGAATGCGCTGCTCACAGTGTGATGTAACGCATTAGATAACTGGAATCAATCTTTGGCTCACACTAAGTAAATAATGGTTCACAGACAATGAAATGGACATTCCTATTATCCCAACATGACAGTGAAAATTAAAATCACCAATTACGGTGCGAAGAGAAGAAGACACAGTTTACATATGACAGCTGAGTATTTCACAGAGACTAATCGGTGCATAGGTTGAATTATTGAAAAGTAATACTCTTTCTCTGTCATTCTCTGAAGGCTGTCAAGGCCTCAGTCTCTCGTCTCTCTCTCTCTCTCTCTCTCTCTCTCTCTCTCTCTCTCTCTCTCTCACACACACACACACACACACGCACTTTCTCTATCTTGTGTCTTTCTCACGAGACTGAGTTGTGGGGATGAGTAATGTGGCCTCCAGCAGAACATCAACTGGGAATGAAGTGTGGAACAGAGACGGTCATCTATCTTTCACTTTCACTGCTAACACATCTATCTACTGACCAAGCACACACACACACACACACACACACACACACACACACACACACACACACACACACACACACACACACACACACACACACACACGATGACATCCAATAGCAGCTAATTGGGTAATCCTTTTAGTGCATTGTAAAGGAGATCGAGCATGAATAGGGCTTCAATGCTGAAGTGCAGAATACCAGACACTCATTACTGCCCTGAAGTAGGGAGATGGAATACCAGGCACAGAGAGAGGCACAAGCAGAAAGAGAAAGACACTGACTTGGAAGGACTGTGTGTGCGTGAGAGAAGGGTATTTATTCTGTGCAGCTAACATTGCATTATCCATTGACAACTACTGTATTGCCCAGCATACAGCCCATGTATCCTCTGTTTGAGATATAAGGGTCAGGATACAGAAAGAGGTTTAATTATGAATAATAAAAGTAAACAATTTTTGCACATTAATGTCATCTCAGTGTCTCCTTTTGAGACTAGGCAACTTTGACTAGAGCTCAGCTTTTAGTGAGACCCCCCAGCCCGAAATTAGATTGCATTCAGATGCTATTATGTGCATCCAAATGAGACATTAGGTCAACCAAACCATCAACCTCCATGGGTTTTAATAGATAAGGAGGTCGTCTGCACTATTCATTGGCTCTGTATGGCTGGCCAACTACTGCTCTTGTAGTGCGTGCATTTGCATAACCTTGGCAGTTGGAGTGTAGGGGAAAATGTATTTTTAATGGAGTCTAAATGGGAACCTTTAGTGCCGCGACAAGCATGGAAACTAATGCTCATGAATTCAAGAAGTCCTAAAATTAAATATCTCAAATGTCCTTTTATATTTCCTTATTGAGCTGCATCCGCCCATACTTGATTGGTTATTACCTTACAATGCGTTTCTGCACCTTTTTGTTGTAATACCTCAAACATGCGCAGTGCCATGGAACCAGTCCAAAAAAGGTTTTAAAGACTTGGATGCATCTTCTGTTAGATAGCTCTTATCAAAGTCCAGCTCAGCTGTCATAAAATATTAACTTCTCTGGCTTTTATTCCTCTCTAAAAACAGCAACTGAAAATGTAACAAATGGAAGCGTTTTTTTAGACGTTCTGAATTATTGCTCACCCATTACTCGCACATATACTTTTTCCATTACTTGTCACCCTGTCCCATTCGTGTGTGATATGACAGCCTTTTTATTATAAAACTCAAATTTGATCGATTGCCATAAAAGCTTTGTTGCGATGCTGTTTGTACATTAACGGAGGATTCGGAAAAAGACTTCATGGTTATGGTCAGAAATATAGAAGTCACACCGGCTAATACATTTTACTAGTGTCAGATCAGTTAGTTTGTACTGGTGTTATAAAGGTGTTATAACGCCTCATCGGACTATATTTTGTATCAATGATAGGGCATGAGAACTTTCAGTATATAGACGTTTGGATTTCTCACATAGTTACACACACTTATTATGATATATCTTCGTTTAAGAAAGGACAACATGTATAGGTAGGTAGAAAAGAATGAGGCCTTTCCTGGCACTGAAGCCTGATGACCCCCAAAAGCTGAATACTCAATGATAAGATTGTCATTCTTGAGCATAACTGCCTCCCATCCTCCTAATCTTCTGTGGCTGTGCGTGTGTGTGTGGATGGTGTAATGTGGGAGTAAGAGGAAGTAAGGAGGAAGACACAATGAGCTCACTTTATGGGGGTCTATATCATCCCAAAAGCAGCTGGAGATATTTGCTGCAGGCGATACCTGTGCTCAGCTCCAAAATAAAGGCCCTTGACCTTGTTTTGCTACTTTGTTCGTTACAGGGAAACTTTTTTTCAGCAGTCTGACTTGGGATAATTGGGAAGAGCCATAAGTCGACATTCATCTGCTGTTTACTTCTAAACAGAAACAGTTTTATTCCTGAAAAGTTGACTGCTGTGGATGTTGGAATGTTGGATTGCCGTGCTTCTTTGGCAGAGCCTTCATTCACGAGTGGATGCTGGTATATAGGTATCTAGGACAGTTATTTTAAGAAGCATCTCCTCTAGCAGGTCATGACAGCTTCAAATGATTGTCACACGGTAATGAGCAAAGCATTAGTTATTGAAAAAAGCCAAAAGACAACCCAAAACAGAATCATCTGTCAATTCAAGATATTTACATAAAAAATGATCTCTGCTGTGCACATAGAAAACAAACAAACAAACATCTCAGTCAGTGAAATGACAGGGAACTGTCTATTCCCACTTCTTTTTTACTCTCACATTGCTTGGTACAATTCCTCCCCTGTGTTTTTCTCCACACAATAATTTGGTACAAACAAAGCTGAACATGCCTGTACAAGTGCCCTATACTTACCCACTCACCTTGTCACCTGCACAATGTACAAGAATTCATGTTCTCAGCAGGTCTCAACACATATCTCACTGTACGCGAGTGTGACAGAAACTGGGAGTTGGCGAAACAGCTCTCCTTCATGTGTTACAATTAATTGTATAAAAGAAACAGAGCAATATTTAGGAACCGTGGGTTGGTGGGGGGTTACTTTAGGTAATCACTGGGTGGGGAATACACTTGAAAATCATGTTGAAAACACCTATAACTACCAGCTTAGCCTTCAGGGGTATTTATATCCCAGGAGTTGTTGTGCTTATATCAAATCAAACCTCATGCTGGTCCCTATTATTTTAAGCTTTTTTTTTTTTAAACAATGGTTTGCCCAGTAATGGCTGAGCTGAATGAAAAGAGCACGAGTGGCAGTTTTCTGGGTCGAAATCAGACATTTCATTTATAGCCAGTGTGTCCTCATGCACAGAGATGATTTCATTTTAAAATTCAGTTTGCATTTAACAAGCAAAAGCCTTGGACTGCTTCCATGCATAGAAACTTTGGAATTATTATTAATGCTAGCTGTAATTTGGTATGATCATAAAGTGATCCTAGTTCACCTTACTTAAACTTTGCAAATTGCACACTTAAATAAGGAGGAATCTGCTTGTATCCTGCATGAACTGCAAGGCTTTGAGCCTCGCACAAGTCTCTGCCATCATTTCAGATCTAGTCAGAAAGCCATGCTGTCTTTGAGTACCTGTAGTGGTGACTTACCTCAATTATTCCTTGCCTCCACAGTCTCAGTCACTTCTGCTTTTGCCCTGTCTCCCCAAGCTTTGTGATCTATGAGCAAACCATCCTTAGCCGAACACTGGCAGGGCCGGTGTGGGGAAAAAAGTGATGTCTGCTTTTGTTGTTTGAGGTCTCTTAGGTTCCTTTCCTCAAACCTCTTCAATACCTGGAACACTCAGTCCGTCCCGTCTCCCATACTCTCTTACATTCCTTCAGAAACTTCTCTCTCTCTCTCTCTCTCTCTCTCCCCTCCCCTCTCTGTATCCTTCTTGCCTCTCCCCTGAACTCCCTCCCACTCTCTCCTTCAATCTTAACATTTGCCACTCTGTCTCACCCCCTTCCAGCTTTGATATATATTTTATTGTTTTTTCAAAGCCTTTTGGACCGTTCAATAAAAAATGTTATTTTTCTTAGCATTATTAGTTATGTTAGATAAATATTACTTATATATATACTTATATATATCTGTATTTGTCCACTATTTCTTTGGGATTTATGCTCGTTCTTGTTCCCTGCAAACATCGCTCCACCTGTCTCTTCCTACTTTTCTTCTTTACTCTCACTGTCTTTTTGCTCTTTCACTGGCAATAACTTACTGCCTCTGTATCCATACAGACCGTAAATCATCCATCGCCACACCTCTAAGGCACACTCAGTTTTCGAAAGCGGTCAAAATACCTCAGTGCTTGAAAGTGTACAGTGTCAAAAATGAATCCCATAGTGTTCTTTTCTTGTGAGACCATGTGTGACAGTGTAATTACTTGAACCTGTACAGCCCATATGTGTGCATGTGTGCACCAGCAGGTAAGTTAGTGAGTGGCTGTGGGGCGGATGACTCATACTGTTACCCACCTTGCTGCGCTGCTGTAGATTTAACCCGCTTCACTGCATCAGCCGATTTTGTCTTCTATCACGTACAAAAAGGAAGCTCTGATTTGGTTTATTTATGTTACAGATGAGTTGAATAAATCACCAGGATGGCAGGTTATAACCCCACAGCGTAGTCTTGGCAGAATACCCATTTGATGTGCCTCAGCTCCCGTTTCGTCTTTCTGTGTCCGTCATGTTTCTCTGTTCCTGTCTGCATATCTTTCTTCTTGGTGTTTGTTTCACCTTATCTTTCTCTTTCTTTCTTTACAGTCTAAACTCATTTGTTATTCTTAATCTTCAGCCCCAGAAACCTCAAAGACTGCTGCATCACAATTAGAAGTATCTAAACTTCTCCGTCGTTCAGGATTAATGCAGTAAAATAAAGTTTGAACTCCTTTGTTGGCTGTGAATAAAAAGTTCTATAAGTGCTCATTGCCATCTGGGCATATTTGGTGGAGATACAAAGACTTCTGTCGGTGTTGCTGATGTGCCAGATTTTTTTGAACTGACACTGCGCTTTAGAGTCTGGGCGATGATATGTAATCAGCAGCCAGGAGCACAGTCAGAGATACATCTTTATACTCAATGGGTGGCAAAATAGGCATGCCTATATTTAATAGTGTGTTTGGGGCAATTGTTAAAAGCCTGTAATTTTAGTCGTGACCAATCTCGTTTCAGTGCTTCACAGCATCATTTCCCCCTTTGTATTGTTTGTTGCCTGTTGCTCCTGCTAAACATACCCAGGTTGCTGTGTATGTGCGTGTGATGATGACAAATCTGCTGCTATGATAAAATTCAGTCTGTTTTTGTATGTGTGTCCAAAGATGTAAAATGAGGAGCGGTGCTGTTAAAAATATTTATTATTTGTGTACCTCAGCACTCATGCGTGTTTGTGTCTAGCGTGCGTATAAGGCTCTTTGTGTATTTACACTCACTGTCATATTAATCTTCTAGTGAGTCTCTAAAGATTGCGTTATACAGGAAAACTATTAAAAGATCTTTTGTGTTTTCAGCTAAAAGTGAAAGAAGCAGCGTGATTACTCATGTGAGTTTTATGTTTTCTGGACTTTGACAAGCAGCTCGGGCTGTCAGGTTGTGAATGGGCTGCAGGAACTGATTGGATTTTTATGTCAAATTTACTCTTCCAGAACGCGCCTCCTTTTCTTGGCCTGGCCCTATCTTCCTGCTTATCTTCACTCACCCCCACAGACACAAATAAGCGCATGGATGAAGATCAATACCTCGCTGAATTTAAAGACCCTGCATAATGTTGTTGACCCAGCTGGCACAAGCAAGTGACCCTAATCAGTGGCCAGAGGAAGGACACAGCTAAGTGAAAACACATAGATGGCCATACAGAAGTTGCACCTATGCTTCCGTACATAAAACCATCCTTGTGCATGTTCGTGTAACCCCACACTAGCATTTGAGATTTGGGTTAGGGTGCAAAAACAAGGACACAGAAACACACACACAGCTGAGCTTAAAATCCAATTTCTTATGTAAGTGTGCTCGGTGCTTGCCACATACTTTTGGCAGACTGGTGGATGTAGGCAGCTGAATGTGTATCCAGCGTGAATCCGTATGGAGATAAAATAGTCGTAGTCAAGTCATGATCCTCTTGTACTCTGAACAAACATGTACAGTAGCTGCGTGATGCGTAAGTATTGTTGTAAAGCTACTGTGAAGATTAGCTTTCCAAAATAATCTCTGATGTTGCCTTTTGCTGAAACATTAGTCTTAAATTTAAGTTGATCAAATAAATAAAGGTGCAGAATTAGGTCAGGTCCCTTTTATTTATACTTTACAGCTTCTATGGAACTATGTTCTATCAGGAATCACTTTTCTGGTGAAATACTTAAGATATCATTTCCTTCACTAAAATCAGTGTTCACCGTGAGAGGTCGTCATAATAGTAATCGACAGTAATAAATGAAACCCAAACCTCTTCGTCACAGGAAACTGCCCCTCTTTTGGGTTGTAAACAGGTAGCAGTAACATTGACGCTCCAGTTTAATTACTGCGAACTACTCCCCAGTGCTCCTTCTGTCTCTCTAATAGCATTTCCTCTGCTGTCTAAAATAGTTTGTGGCTATCACACTAGGCCCTCCATCATTTAAACTGTCTATTTGGGAAACATTCAACCCTCCAGAACTTGAATCACTCAGACCTGTGAAAAAAAATTTGGCATGCATTCGTCTGAGTTAGGTGCCTCTGCACTAACAAGCTCAATGGCCTTCGGTAATCCTCAGGCCTTGGTCTTTTCTCCTTTCTGAAGTGCTTTTCTCTCTCTTTTTTATCTCCTGTCAAGGCTGACAGCTCCACTGTGCATCAGCATGTTCACTTGGGGCCGAGCCGAAGGGCAGATAGAGATAATATTGACAGAAGTCGTAGTCCGACAAAGATAAATGATGTCACCAAGAAAGAAAGGAGTGGAGAGAAAATTGGACAAGAAATGTAAGAATTGAAGAAAGAAAGTGATGGAATTTGAGCAAGAAAAGGAGGTAAAGAGGCCAAGGTGAGGTCTGAGTGCACAAAAGTAGGGCTTGAGCTAAGGCTTTATTGATTCTGTTGGCTTTGTCTGTCACCACCCAGGGGACACACTTGGCCTATGATGTATGGCTGCTTCATTCTCTGCTGCTGCAGCAGCAAGGGACACAAGTCAGGGACCTTGTTTTACGCTACTGGTACAGCAGAGCCAGGGCAGCCCGCCGAGCCATGTACATCACAACTCCGCTGAGAGGTGGCGCGACCCAAAGAAACAAAAGAGACTTCCACCTGCTCGTTGACCTGAAGGAACATGGCTTCCAGCTAAACTTCATTAATCTCCCACTCCCGCTGTCCGGCAAAAAATACACGAACGAGTCGTCGATAAATAAAACCCATACAGATATTTTTGTATTTCTCTCTGGTGTGAAAAAAAAAGAAACGTACAACTTCACCCATTTCAAGAGATGAAGTCAGAGTAAGTGCGCATACATACACACACAGATGGCCGCACATCAAAGCATCGATAGCTGTCTCTCTCTGCGCGAAGGCAATTTGCTCTGCCCAAGATCTTGCGCACCGGTAGCATATAAATAAGCTTGGCACCATGTGGCCGGAGAGCACAGTAACAGCCCGTCAGGTTAGATGAGGACAATAAAATTGTCTAGTTGCACACCCAATGAGTGGCACATTTTGAGAAAGTAGTACACAGAGATACTGATGTTGTCACTCAGACACTCACGCAGGCAAATACTGGGGTTATTAGTATTGATTTAATGTGCCTTGCTTAACTCCGCTAAGCCACGATTTGATGAGACTTTAATTAATCAACATACTCTCTCTGTTGAAGGTGTCGGGCACCGAGCCGGGGCATTGTCTTCACAGACAAAAAGGGATTAACTAACTTCAGATAAAAGTTTGGGTCGAAAACACGCACAGATCTCCTCATCAGTATACATCTCGAGCTTTCAGAAATGTGCACACGAGAGAGGTTAACGGTAGGACAGGAACGCCTCTGGCGCTCAGTGAATCTTTCTTTGGAGCTTCCAGTTGCTATTTCACACTCATTTTACCTTTCAAACTACATTTGCACATAATCCAATTAAGTCGCGGGGTTAGTAAAAGAACTGTTGCTGATGATTTAAGTTTTTGATGTATGGGCACAGAGAGTTCCACGGTGCCTCTTCCCGTATGCGGTGCAGATGGATCACCGCTGAAGTCACCATCCTCCACTTGTTTTGCCCTGCAGGTGTTATGTGCATAGTATAAATTTCACAAATAAAGCCATCCATCTCTCCCTCTGGTTAACACTTCAGACGCTAACAACAGTTAACTGCTTTGAGAAGTCTTAAGCATCCACTAATAGGGATTATATGGAGTGTAACTGGGCTATAAATTGCAGAGAGGTGCACAGTCAAATAGCGTGAACAGAATAGAAGAATACACCAAACAGTTTGCCTCTCTAAAACCCGTTTGTCTCTCAGAGAACAATTAGGTGATGCCGGGTCGAGGAGACAGTTTTATTTAGTTTATTATTTTGATAGTGCTGACATTCAATTGAGACACACTCGATGAGTGTTTCACATCAATCATGAAAATAGAGGTCTGCAAGCCAGCAGTTATTACTTTGCAAAGAGACCAAGCTCGTGAAAAATGGCCCCACATTTCAATAATATTCAAGCAGCTGTGAATCCTGGCACAGCGCTAAACAAATGCGTTAATACACCAATTAAAACAGGGGCCCGGCTGCACTAATGCACCTCTAAAAATTGTGCTGCAGTCATAATACCTGCTTGTGATTCTGTCTTTTTTTTTTT